TGGGGGGTTTCCCTGTTTTTTTCCCCCCTTCCCTTGTTCCCCCCCCCTTTTTTTTTTTTTTTTTTTGGGTGCCAGGATCTCTGATGAGACAACAGCACCCCAAGGTCACGAAGTGGGGGGTAATCAGCTCCCATTTCCTGCTGCTGCACTGACTCAGATGAGATTACTTTATCACTGTCAGCAGCAGCTCTAAGGCTGGGCATCTCTGTCAGTCCAGGCTGAACCTTTGGGCACCTGCGTCAGAGCTCAGACCGCCAAAGCCCACGGAGTAAAGTGGGCCCACTCACCGTCGTTTCACGTCTGAGAGGCTGCTGCTGCTGCTGCGCACAGGCGCACAACAAGGAGGAGGGAGGGCGGATGAGCGGGGGGGTTAAGGGTCCTCTAGTTGTCGGGAGCATCAGTGACAAGCTGCTCGGTTAAACCCTCTCGCAGACGGTCCACTGCCGTGTCCATGTGGTTTCTGATCGCCTTGACAAATCAGCGCCTCTAAACCAGCCCCCGGGTCCAGGGTTTGTCCCTCCTGTCCAGCACCAATCTGAGCAGGGGAAGGAGGACGGGGGCGGGAAGGTTAGTTTGAAGAGGGCAGAGCTTTGCGAAAAGCACGCCAAATTATCCCCTATTTCACCGCTGGAAAAAAAAAGAAAAAAAAAAGAAAAAAACAGATCCATACCCAGTGGATGATAACAGTTGAGGGTGAAATCAGACGGACTAAGCGTCAGAACCTCATTAACTCCAAGGAGGGAGAAGAAACGGCAGGAACGCAACCCTCAGTGCTGCGGGTGAGATTCAGATTTTTTTTAAAACTAATTATTTTATTGATTTATTTAATGTCCGTCTTTACCTGCGCCGCTGAATGTCTCGTGTTGTTGTTGTTGTTGTTGTTGTTTTTTAAAAAAGAGTTTCGGTAACGTTCAGGTCCGAATGACAGCGGGAGACGCTTTCTGACGTCCTCGGCAGCGATGTTTCATTCAACATGTAACAACTGCTGTTTGTGGAGCTACCGCAGTATAATTGGTGGCTTAACAGGTCTCCGTGGCTGAAGTGGAGATGATGCTGGACCGAGGGATGCGGCGCTGCATGCCTTCCCTGCCTGCTCCGTTTCGTTTGCGCTCGGGAAATAAGTAGTGTTGTTAGAAAACGTGTGTCCCCCCCCGTGTTAAATAATTGTTTTATCTGTTTGTGTGTTTTTTTTTTTTGTTTTTTGTTTTTTTGCTTGTCTTCGACTGGCAGCGGAATGCGACACTGTGGCTCGGTGCGGGTAATTGTTACTTTCTGTTAATAGGCAATTAACGTAGCGCGCGTGACGTTATTTCTCCTCTCTCTCTCTCTCTTTTGGCTTTAATGTTGACAGAAACATAATAAAACACGAGCGCGTTCGTCCTAACTCCGGTCTCGTGCTTTGACCCCCCGCGTGCCATGCAGCCCGTCAGAGAGGAGATGCCGCAACATGAGAGAAGACTGTTGAGCGGAGGCTAAGTTAACCTTGGAATAAACCTCCCCTCCCCACCCAGCCACCCCTCGTTAAAGCTGTCTGCGCCCCCTCTCACCCCTACCTTGCAACACCACCTCTCGTTAGCTCAATAGCATACTTCTGACGTTCCTTTGCTCACAAGTTTGTTTGTTTTTTTAATCACCTTAAAGAGAATTTGAAGCGCTTCTTATTGATATACTTAAACACGTAAAGACAAGAGACATGTCTGCTCCCTTCTTTACCTCTTTGGGTGCTTTTCCTGCGTTGCTGCCCCTGCATGTTGTGTGTTGTCACTGGACACAGAGGCAGCACGGTGCCCTGCTGCTTGAATAATGTATTTGTAACATTAAGATCTGCCTTTAACATCCACTTGATTGCAGAAGTCACCCTATGTAGAAAATGGGTCAGCAGAGACATGCACTCATAACATATAGACTGCCTTCCTGCTGTTGAATGGGAGATTGTGAGGAAGCAGTGTTGATTTGCCAACTGACTCCACACACATGCTTAAATGTCCATCTTAATGTTTCAAGCCGTTTGTGACAAGAGAGTTTAATGTTTTCCGCAAAGAAAGTCCTTAAACAGAGTCGTCTTTAATTAGCGGCTCATAATCAAAGACTAAGAAAATGCTAGCCGTTAATTACATGCACTTTTCCAGCGGGGGAAAACGTTAAAGAATTAATATTATCAACAAAGTCACTTGTGTTCCCTCAAACAGATCCGCTAAAATAAATGGAACTGCATCATGTTTTATTCATATTTACATATTTAAGGTTGATTAGGAGTTTCAGAATCTTCCTGTTGGTGATTCATTACTTTCTTTCCCCCCCCTGGGGTACAAACATGATATTACAAAGAGGCCCACTTTTCTAGCCACTGGTCACATTCTGGCAGCGGAGCCATATATTTCTATCACACAGAGTTTGGTTTAGGAGGTAAAACGAATCTTTATAGCTCACTGTTAAAGCCCTCCAGCAGAGAGAGGTCACAAAGTCTCCATACCAATCATTAGACACTATGTTCTTTGAGAGTGATGTAAGAAAATACTTTTTTTTTTCTGTTCAGAGGGTGCTTCGGTCAGATTGGAGGGATTGAGCGTTTTGGTTCTAAACTCTGCAAGTGGGTTTGACGTCAAGCAATGGACGAGTCTGTGGGAAAGCACCTCGTGTCTACTGTTGAATACGGTGGAGAGCCTGTGATGCTGTGGGCAAACTTTTCGAGTTAGCCAGAGATTTTTAATAATAATAAAAAAAAATAAAAAAAAAATCGGGTGGACTCTACTGGTATGATAAATTATTGATCCATAGCGAGACAGAAATTATTCAGTGGACATAAACTAATTCCCAGCAGAAAGCCAGCGTGGTGAACTACAGAGAGGGAAAACCCAGGACATAGAAAGTGACTGTGCAGAAAGAAACAGTCAGTGATTCGTCTCTGGTTTTTGTCCTGACCTTTGGAAAAGTTACAGAAGATGACTAAAAACTTCCTGTTGGCTAACAGGGCTGTGAAAATATTAATAAAGTTTCCCAGTGATTGTCCCATGACTTTGTTAAAGCAGCTTCTTCAGGTTTTCTTTCCAAGCCAAGTAAATATATTCAAATAGGGTTACTGGTTTTTAGACTATATACTACTGCAATTATTTTTTTATTGCATGTTTCAACAAGGCGTCATGTACGCCTAAATTGTACTAAAGCTCAAAATGTCATATTATTATTGGCAGGAGCACTTTAAACCCTGTCCCCATAAGCGCCATTGCCACTCTCTAAATGAGTTCTCAGGTATTCAGATAGTTCTGCCCCCTGAACATCTTCTGTCTGAAAAATATCCAAGAATGCTGCATGCAGAGGTTTCAAAATAGGTCGTTAAGTCCTCAAGGCTGTGGCTGACGTCACGGTGGCTTTTAATCATCACCTAATTCCAGTCTGAAGTGTACATAGGTTAAAACGTAGCCCGCACATCAGAGGGAGCTACGCTATTGCTCCGAATTTTAGCTTAATCTTTTCCCTGATTTTCAACCAGCCAGAGTCAGAGGCCACGTTCTCGATATAATTACTGGACACCGTCCAGTTTGAGGTTATGAGAGAATTCCACCCGCTTTTCCCGCTTGCAAACGTTGTAGGCAGTTTTTCCCCTTCTGCAACTCTCCATTGTTGTCGCCACACCTCTCGGTGTGACAGAACACACAGCCGTACGGCGTTCCGCATGGCCCGCTCTCAGTCTGGACCAAACATGATGATCCTGGACTCATGAGTGTGACCATAACTAAATGGCTCAGCCAGTTTGGACATATGGAGCTCCCCCCCTCCCCCCATCCCCAAACTACCGCCATGTTTCTCTTCACACTAAATTGTTGTGTGGGGAACAAAAATGCTGTTCAGATTTCTTGCCCGCTGTACGCAAGCTAGCAGACTGAGCAGATCTTTCTGAAGCTGGAAAGTCACTCTGTTAAAAAGATGGAAGGTTTTCAGGAAGATTTCTTTTTTTAAAAAAAAAATGTATCTACACCTCTTGAAGTTTTAGCATGTATCAAAAACATCAATGTGTCTTACGGGGATTTTATGTGATGGACTGACACAATGTGGTGCATAAAGGTGAAGTGGAAGCCAGTGTTCTGACTATCTGTGCAACTTTGTCAGATTTTCCTACCGTAGCACGGATAGATAGCCAAGTCTGTCTGTCAGTTTTGCTGCGCTCGCAAAACTGCTACCGTCATGTTTACAAACCGAAAATCACGGCAGGCTGTGTTAATAACATTATTTGAGTGACGGGACTGAAGTGGAAGCTTAATGCTTACCATTGGAACAATTTATATAGACGACAAAAACACAAAAATATCACTTCCTTCATCTGAACATCCTACCCGTTTTAAAATGAAAAGCTATCGCAGATGTTTGCACTAATCCTTTTATTAGAGTATCTTTACCTTCTTAAAAAACATTTTAAATACAGAGATTTTTGTAAGAATAAAACAGCGTCACACCGGGGAAACAGATTCTTATTGAAATTAAATCAAACAGACATCTGCAAATACAGATCACCGCAACTCTTTTTTGCACATTAATACGTCGTATGACTTTATCAGGTTCAGCGCAGCCACAATGTGTCCACTGGATTGCACGGATCACTGTGCACTGAAATGACAGGATGTGATTAATATACACTAATATCACACCTTCAATCTCACAGAATATCGCTACCAACATGCTCTATTTAGCATGGTTTAGTAAAAAAAAGAAAAAAAAGTGTTATTAAACTAAAATATTTAAAAGTATAGGGGCAGGGTTATAAAGTCAGGTATAAATAAAATGCATTAAATAAAGCTTACCTTAATCTCCGACGAAATAAAACGGACGAAACAAAATTTCCACAGGTAGGATGTATTGATAAAAAATCTGCTGAGTAAGCAGTCTGTGACGTAGCATCGATGTGCGCATGGACATTACCACGAGGTGGGATGGATTCATGCGTAGCACAGATTGTTAGAACACCGTTTTTCAATCCTTCTTCTTTTTTTTTTTAAATAAAACAGAGACCCATGGCGACTCTGGAGGAGCAGCAGAGCTCAGTAGCTCTGGAGGGAAACTGCATCCACAGGAAATCTGCTAATCTTGATTTGCACCATAATCTTCTCTTATTTTTTTATGTAACCTAGAGAGAACTAACGACCCCCAAGCGAGTGTTTTCTTTAGATCCTCAGTATGTGACAAGTATTTTATATTTTATTTGTATTAATTAAAAAAAACATGTTTTATTTAATGTTCAGTCTATGCAAAGCGCTTTTTAGTAACATGAAGTGATGGAACAGTAGTTGGAAGAAAGACATTCTTGAATTTTTTTTTTTATAACAAGCAATGTCGGGGAACACAGCAAACATGCGTTAGGAGGTGTTCTAATAAGAGACTATCTCCCCACCCCCAAAAAAAAAACAAAAACTCAGTTGTAAAACATAGTGGTGGCAGCATCGTGCTGTGGGAATGCCCGTTTTCAGCAGGAACATGGATGTTGACCAGGATGATAGACGGAGCTAAATACATTCCATCCGTGGAAGAAAACTTATTAGAGGCTGCAAAAGACTCGAGTCGGGGTTAGAGGTTTACCTTCCAGTGGGAAAATAGTGAAAAACAAAACACACAGCCAGAGCTGCAATGCAAGGATTTAGGTAAACGTGTGGGTCACATGTTAGAACAGCATTATGCTATTCTGCAATGAAGAATAATCAGAAATGTTTTGAGATGGACAAACCCGGGAGCCTAAAGGCAAAGGGAGGCTCTGCTACGTGTCGACTCAGGGGAGAGGGCACATCTTTCA